AATTGCCGCGGAACGTAGCAGTCTCGTATGCAAGCACATGTACTGCCAACTGGAGGATGCATTGGTATTCACCGGGAAAGGAAAACCATCTGTCTGTTCAATCCAAGAGCTTACATGTGCAGATGATTGGGGCCAGGGGGCACTAGCAACATGACAAGCGGATGATGATTTGCCATGCACAGGTGCACTAGCTCCAAGAATAACAGTCTGCGTTGACAATTATTAAAACTCGGTCCCGTTCGGCCGCCATTTAGAGACGTCCTCGTCTCTCTGCTAGAGCCCTTTTGGGGCATCGCTTGCCGACACTGCTTGCCAGCGAACGTTGGGTAACATTTCTTGAAGGGTAATGGGTGGAGATGGTGAGTGATGAATGCCCAGATACCATCTTGAAGGCGGGGATTGGGTATATAAATGAGAAGGGGAACAAGGGTACTAGTCAGAAGTCCAAGGCAAAAATTAGAGACAGCGTTAAGAAGTAAAAGAGACAACACAGCGCTACAAAGGAAAGATTCTTTGATTTTGCTTTTTTGATTCTGATTCTTTGATTTTGCTTTTTTATTATAGAAAAGCGAAAAAAAAAGCAAAATCAAAGAGTCAGAATTTATGAATAAAAGCAGAAAAAAAAAAGTAAATAACTATGCGATTGGAAACTGCTTTACAAAAACTTGTCGTCAGTAAGGGGTCTCCTCATTTATGAAGCCCTCCAACTGTGAACGCCCTTTCTAGTGCAAACACTGTATTGACTGTGAAAGCAAAACCGTCTCAGTTCTTCTGTAATAATCAATTTTGCTGGATTAAAGTGAAGCATGAACTATCACTTTTTTCCTGAGAACGACCTCACGCTGCAACGCGCCACGCTTGTTAATGCGCTCATGCATTTATACGCTGAACTTATAGCAATGAGATCGTTAACAACGGGAATGGGTCCAGCCTTGTAGGTTAATACGTCGACACTTGTTGGTTTGTTTTGGCCTTTTCCTGCATATGGAGATGAAACGGCGTCGGCTGGGATGGTAAAGTTGCATCATGGGGATGCATGAACCTCCAGCATGCGTGATTATCAATTTTGTCCAATCGTTTTCTCGGTAAGCAATGGCGGGAAAACAGCTAAGTGAGGAACCAGAAAAGCTGGGAGGCTGAAATTTTCAGGGGGTGTTCCCAGCTCATCTACAACTTGAAGATTTCAAATTGAGCACCCGGTGACGCGTGGTACTCAAGTACGATCCCGTGAAAGTTTTCGGAGGGAAACTCGCTAATTAGGGAACCAGGAAAGCTGAAATTTTAGCAGAATGTTCCCTTTCCAAGTATCACATGGTAGTTGTGCAATTAACTTCCTGAAGTTCGAGGACCAGCATGTTACGAATTCTACCTGTTGTGATTCCAAGCGATCTTACTACAGCACGAAATAATCCAAAAACGCCGGGTTCGCCTGGTGCGCGTCGCCAATGATTCTATCTTATGCAGCCCCCGAGATCGCTTTCCGCCAAAAAAACTTGCATATTTTTCCGGGTGTTCCGTACGCGGGACTCACAAGTACTCGAGTGATAGTATTAAAATGTGAGGGTCGCACGTGTGACGGGCACATACTCCCGAAGTTTCAGCATTCTAGCTTTTCTAGTTTCGATCTGAAAGCAGGTGACAAAAACTGCGAACACATACACACAGATCTTGCCAACATGCGTTTTTGCATTTGCACAATATGCAAAAATACTTGAAAACCAACGATATCCAACGAGCCATAGAATGTAGCACGGTAAATGTCAGTAAACCGTAGCATATTTCCAACACAACACTGCGATTTCGATCAGTGTGTGTCTATAAAAGCAAGGGAAAGGGGCTTAGTTGGTCATGCGGCAAGAATTTGAAAATCCAGCTTGGGGCACACTACGCTTGCCGGTGTGGTTATGCGTTTTTGTATGATTTTATTGTGTAGAGAGGTCACTTGTGCTTTTGAGGTGTGACTGCGGTATTGCAGTTTGAACATTTGATGCGCCAGTATGCAAGGCCTACGCCTAGGCAGAAGCTTATTTTACATTTGCAGGTCGCGCACGAACAGCAAATATCCTCGAAACAATACTGCTTGCTGCTCAGTCTGGTTACTGAGTTAGTCGGGTGCTAAAAGGCCACAAATTAAAAATTCGCTTGCGCACACACGAGACCTAGGGAAAAAGCTGAATTTAAAATATTTTGGTCGCACATGGTCGTAGAATATCCTCATAAAGTTTACGCTCTCTAGCGAAATCTGTTTTTGTTACAAATATGTTGACGTAACCGGACTAGCAGCAAAGGCAAACGCCAAAGCTCATTTTATGCCCTCATACACATGAATGAGAAAAAGTATACTCATATGTTAGTAGCGGAGTTGGCATTTTGTCAGCGGTAACGAAATCTAAACTTTATTGTATCCATACACGTTAATGCGTGCGTTAAAGTTGAATCTGAAATTTCGGGCTTGCACAGAAACGTAGAAAATCCTTGTGAAATTTCAGCTTCTTAACTACTCCAGCTCCCGAAATCATTTCCTCGCCGAAAAATTTGCGTGAGTTATTTTAGGCGTCCGTACATGAAACCCACACATACATGAACGTTGATTTTAAGCTGTTTGTACTGTGCGTAGAGTAGGAAGATCCTTGTGAAATTCCTGCTTCCTAGTTTTCACGGTTGCTGAGTTGAATGGGAGTGACAGAAATCCGAACAAACACACAAACGCGCAGACATCTACAAATTCCCAACAATATGCATTTTTGCATATATGCAAATGCAATAAATAGCGGTGTGCATCAGGGTAGCCGGTGTGGCCATGTGTTTTGCGCAGTTCCGTCCAGCAAAGGTTTGCCTGCTAAGAATTTTTACTGCTTTGCATTTCGGTCCGTGCAAAACTAGTAGAAATGTCTGGTTCCTAAGTTACAGAATTTCCCACTAAGGTCTTGTAAAGCAAACATCCTTCCAAAATCAACCCCCTAATTTTCTGGCTTTTGAATGATTTTCGAGCCAAAAATTTCTGTAGTCGTGCGTGAGACCTCAGCATACCTGGAAATTAAATTTGAGTTTGTGTGGTCACTGCGTAAGCAGAAAACATCCTCCTGAATCATCCTCTTACCTCTTTTAGTGTGCGTAAAAACTGAATTTAAATCTGCAGGATCGCACGTGGGCAGAGGATAATAACCTAAAATTTTCGCCTCCCAACTTCCGTGGTTCTCAAAATAACTTCCTCCATCAAAACTATCACAGGGTCGTGCGTGGTACCCAGACCTGTGGAGGAGCTGAGTTTAAAGTTGTGGAGTTGTACCTGAGTAGGGGACATTACGTAAAATTTTCCTAGCTTTTGTGATTTGCGAGGTAATAGTTTCCCCGCCAAAACTTTCGCGGGGCCGCATAATGATACTCGAGTGCGCAGGAAGGCTGAATTTAAATTTGCAGGGTTGTATGTGGGCAGCACACATTACCTTAAAATTCCAGCTTCCTGGCTTTTATGGTTCCCGAGATAATAATTCTCCCCGCCAAAGTTTTCTCGAGACCGTATGTGATACCCAAGGGCATGGAAACGCCGAATTTAAATTTGCGAGTGATTGTATGTGAGCAGCGCACATTATCGCAAAATTTTAGCTTACTAGCTTTTGTAGTTCCCGAAACAATAACTTCCCCCACCAAACCTTTGGCGGGGTCATACGTGGTAACCGCGGGTAAGTGAAGGCCAAATTTAGGCCTACGGAGTTGCACGTGGGCGGGGAAAAAT